AGGCGCAGACGCCACGTATCCCACAATGATAAGAGTGGTGGCAGCGCTGGCAGCGCACAAGGTAAAGCCTTAGCGCCCTTACTGCGCACTTTTGGTCGGGTCGTGTCGTGAATTGTGTCGTTATGTAGGTAACCCTTCACTCAGGGTGCGACTGGCTCGTGGCACCTAATTCCGGCCTGTGCCTTTGAGTGACTGGACCCTTTCGCATTTAAACCAAATTTGTTTTTTCATTTTGTTAGAGCTGTTTTCTGCCTATTGAAAAAGCTACGTAGCAGATAGCAATAGATCAAGTAAAATCGACTGCAGGCAACAATGATGAAGAAAGGAGTAGAAGATTGAAGTTTCAGACATGATGTTGGTTTTCATCGACTACTTACACATTAGTTGGATTCTCACTTTCCTACAGAAATATTCACTTCTGGAAGCTGGCGCTACCGTAACCCGTGACCTTACAGAGCTGAAGCTGTTGCAATGATCTTTGCGAGCGTTTGTTCCCTCTCCTCCTCCCGCCTCCCCATTATGTTGAACTTCGTATTGCCATTGAGGTGACTCAACAGCGTAATCGGGATTTATGACACTGAATATTCCCATTAGTGATCGATCCCTGTTTGTTGCTACCCGTTGTATACCGAACTTTAGTAGATAGTACCTCAAAGTACTAATCAAGTCGAAAAATACGTAATTTTCCAGAATGGTCCATTATAAGCTGATATATTTCAACGGCCGCGGAGCGGGAGAAATTATTCGACAGGTTGGTGACTTCGAAATATATGCTCGCAGGGAAAAATCACAGAGACGTTCCAAAAATTAATTCCAGGACACTGAAAAATTCAGTACGTTTTCAAAAGAAATCCCACCAGAAAGTCAAGATCTAAATGATGTCCAGAAACTGACGATTTCCTCCATCTAGGCTCAATTATTAGGTTATTCAGAAATTAATTTCACTTGCCCCTGCCCGTGTCACTTCTTCTGTGCGAATTTTTGCAACAAATTCCTTGGCAGGGATTGTGTTCTCAAATATGGTTAGAAAGGAAATTTCTCGCATAAGTTGTCTAAATGTTACCATTTTTAAATTTTGGCACTATTTTTAGCTTATGACCAGCACCAAACCAGCAAATTTGACTGAAATTTCTACAAAGTCCAGCTCGGTGAACATGCAGCAAGTATAGATTGAAACATAATACTGTGTGTAGTCAAGGAAGTACTACCATAAAAAACTGTTACCACTGGTACCAAACACTTCGCCATGGCGAATTTGATCATCAAAATTAGAAATGTCACTTATATTATTATGCGCTCTAAAATAAAGGGATTGATGGAAGAAAATAAACGTACTGTTAGGCGAAAAGTAGTAGAGATTCTAGGTACAGTATTGAGAATTGGGAGGCCGAGAAATGTGACCAATGGATTTGCCAAAAATGGTGCACACAAGCAGGGTCAAGCGTGCATTGCGCAATTTCGAAATTTTTACGACCCCCTCTTTTGGAGGGCACCAGCACGCTCCCTCCCGTGTTAGCTATTTTTTCTCTTTTCATATTTTTATGCCCATCATTGATGTATGGGCCGTCACCGACATGGGGTGGGCAGTGGTAAATCCGTGCGCTTTGTTCCGCTCAGAGGACGGGAATCTAGGCAACATCATAATTTACTCATTAAATAGAAGTAACTTCCGAATTCTTGCGTAAATCAAGCATTTTTTAATCGCAGGGATTTCTACTTACAGAAACCTACCGGGTTTCTTGTTCGCTCAGAGGACGGGAATCGAGGCAAACATCATAATTTATTCATTAAATAGAAGTAACTTCCAAATTTTTGCGTAAATCAAGCATTTTTTAATCGCAGGGATTTCTACTTACAGAAACCTACCGGGTTTTTTCGAACTCCTGAATCTCCTTTTCTTTACCTGAATAACTGAACCTTGCAGTAATTTACAATTACGATACAAACCTCTTTATTTGAAAGGTCATATCTTTCCCAAAAACGGTCGCATGAAATGAGATTTGAAAAAATTTGAAAACTTCAAATTGTGTTCTTCCTAAAAAAAACTTTTAAACTTATGCAAATGTTCAATTCTTCAAAAATCGTCCCGTTGTTCCGTTTTTTGTGCACACGCGAGTTTTCGACATTGAAAGTTCATAACTTTCTTCATTATTGCCTTTTTGCAGATTCTAAGACTAATTAGAAACTAGAAGATTAGCACTTTCAAGAAAAATATTAAAAAAATTTGAATGACCACTTCCGTTTCATTTTTTTTCCTCTGTGGTTTTTTTAGGCCGTTATCTTGAAAAGTGAGATTTCAACCTTCAAATGGCCATGAGTTTCTACCAGACCGGTAGATTGAAAAGCCGTAAAAACCATCTGTACTTTATAGCGCATACGCTAGATTACCTTAAAAGGGTAATCTTTCGCCTGCTACATTTCTATTAGGACTCTGGAGGTCAATCCACCAAATTATAATAGCTGCACTTACATCCACTTTGATTTCTTTCAAAGAAACATATTTGATTTCTTTTTGGTTTTCCATTTGATTTCTTTAAGAGAAAGCTAACTTATGTGATCACTGGGACATAACGAATTCTGACAGGACTCTGGGATGCACCATTCAATCGTATGTGGTGCGCACTCGCAATGGTAGTTGAAAGTCTGTCCTCCTGAGCACCCTAGCGATACCTTGAAACCTTCAGATTTTGTGAGTGATACTTGAGCTTACGACCACGTCCCTTCCCATTGGCCAAATACGACTCCTTCGGTGCAATCGTCCTGTGAAAGTGGAGTCGTCCTGTGAGCAGCTGTCGGCGCTCCTTTGCGCAACAAGAACGACGTTTCATCGAGGGTTTCGTAAGGTATGACCTAAAATTGGATCCTTTGCAACAATCGCATAGGATCGGCTCCGTGATTGGGCCGCACTGAGGGGACACCATCTTCCTGAATGAAATCTATGCTAATAGGGCATGTGTATGGCGACCTGCTTCAGGCCTGATTCGCGACAGCTCCTTGAAACTCAGTGAAACAATCACGGCAGAAGGGTAAGTTTGAGAAATTGGACCAAAGTATACCAAAAACCTCAACATCTGAGCTCAGTCTCATGGTGATCGAAAGCGAGAGGCTCCCGACAGCAATGCGCGGTCACACATCGCACAACTGACGTTCCAAAACCCTGTCAAGTGGGATAGATAGTCCTGCCTCACTCATCATATTTACCAGACCTCTCCCTTATGGACCGTCACTTCTTGATGAGCCTCGACGAATTCTTGAAGCAGAAGTACTTCAGTAGCCAAACTCAGGTGGAAACTGATTTCCGAGTTCATCGGCTACAGAGTTCCAGACTTTCATGTAAGAGGAACAATAAATAGTAGCACTTGAGCAAAGCTATGTAATTCGTTTCCACAGAGACATCGCTTCATACGTTCAGAACGGGATAGATTTCATATGGTGTGATACAAGGTGTACTGATATTTGACGGTCAAAGCGTATTTCATATTAAGCTGTTCGTCATTGCTGGGCAAGACTTCGAGGACAAACGTTTAACGATTGAGGAGTGGCCAAAATATAAAAGCGGTTCGTTGCCCCGTCACGGATTTACGTGCTGTCAACGTTTTTGTGCAAGTGCGGTCGCGGACAGGGTGTCAATTCAGTAGAACGTTTTCAGAAATGCCCTTCAATCAGGTGCCAGTGTTAGAGGTCGACGGAAAGCAACTACCGCAGTCATTTGCCATTGTTCGCTACTTGGCAAGACAGTTTGGTAAGACATACAAGTTCAGTACTCAACAACGATGCCCACTACCCGTTTATTTGAGGTTACGCTGGCAAGACACCTTGGGAGGAAGCGATTGTGGATATGATCGGTGATCAGTTCAAGGATTACCTGGTTGAAGTCAGCCCCGTCCTCAGAGTCGTGATGGGCTTCGATAAGGGTGATGTGGTTAGTAAGACAGGATGACTTTCCACTTCTTGTAAGAAGCAAAACAAGTCCAAAGTAATCGAAAAGGAAATCCATTCCAGGAAACGTTGCTCAAAGAGAAGTTCTTCCCAGCTCGCGACAAGTTCATGACTTTCATGACGAAAATTGTCAAAAGCAACAAGTCCGGTGAGTGCTACATTTTCTGTGGTTAGAAATGGCACATTCAGGGGCAGCTCGATTTTCCCTTATAAAATGTGAGGGCATCGTAACAACTTGCCGCGTGTGTTTTACAGTCCGTACCTAGCCGTCTGAGTGGGCGTGTTTGCGTATTTGACGTGGCGATAGTCGCACTTGATATTAGTCGCGTGGATAAGCTGCCTCCAGCATGCATAGCTGTGTCCCAGCAATATGTTGGAAATAGCTTATCCACGCGACTTCTGTCAAGTGCAACACATCAAAGGTGTAGATGTGCCTATTCAGACGGCAAGATCTGGAGCGAAGGTTAAAGGATAAAGGATAAAGCATTTGCCGTTGATCAATCCCTTTTTGGGATGCGGCACGCATTCTACTTCCATTTGTACATTCGTAGTGGCGTTTGAATGCGATGTGGCCTATACAATGACTTGCGGGCCAGCCGATAGTCAGTGTTTTTATCCTCCCAGACAAGTGGCCTGAGCGAGTCACGACGCAGGATTTGATCCCCGACCGCTCGCTTTTAAGCGTGCTACTTGCCACTACACCACTTCCGCCCATGCATGCAGGCGTCATACTGGCTATTGGGATTACCATTTGCAAGCTAGCTCGCTCTGGTCGCTGACTCGTTCAAAGGGGCAATAAACAGGCAAAAAGGGGGCTTCATTTCTCGATTTGAGGGTCTTCTTGGCATTTCTTCACCACTGCACCTACGTCCACCTCTTCTATCATTTCCAGCGGTCAACGATTCGTCAAATTCGCCTTTAAATGCATTTTCAGTGCTTACGTGGTCACGGCAAGTGTTACCACTTACGATTATGATTCAGGGATAAAATTTCGCAAAAATGGGCGTTGAGCAATCAAGGCTCGTCCTCATGAGGTAGCCCTGGTAAAACGAGACTGATTTAGCAGTATAACATTTAAACTGACAATCAGCTGGCCCCTTAAAGGCAAAGTTCGGGCTCAGACCCACCTAATAAGCCCTTAAAGTGGCTAGAAGTGCATGGGACGCAACTGCAGGCGACTCGCCAAGTTCCCGCATCGAAATGCGTCACTAAGGCGCTAGGGGCCAAGGACTTTGACACGCTCCACCTGTTGCGACACGCTCCGCCCACCGCTCGATATCTTGTCTGCGTCGCAATGTTGATCTGCTATGCTCTCTTCTCGGACTTCTCTACCGCTCTCCGCGCTCACATTATCTCTCATCTCCCTGCCGGCCTTTTGAACTTCTCCGCAGCGTAGAGCAAAAGGCTCGTATTTCCTGTGTATTTCACGATTTTTTTCCTTTTTTCTCCACTGGCGGTCACCTCCCACCCCTACTTTCACATTTGAGTGGAATTACCTCATCAATTTAATCCTGAATCTTGCCTTTAAACTGGCTGCTTACGTAGGATTTCAGAGTACGGCTTAGCTGCAAGTCGAAGGCGTGGCGCGTTCAACAAAGTGTGTCGAGGTCGAGGTATACCATTATCTTTCAGCATTGCTGCCAATGAACGTTGCGGTTGCGGTTCGAGAGTGAAGTGAATGCTAACTACTTCTACCTTTTTATGAACTATCTTTCTTACCTTTGAAATACAGACGCGGACGAGTTTAGCGATGGGAAAGAAAGATCATAAGAGCAAGATGAAATTATGCTTAAACGATTTGTTGGATAGAATGGCAAAAAATCGTAAGAATTTAATCGGAAAATGTGGTGATTCACTTGCGAAGCCACCAATGTTAGCTAGTTGAAAGATTGAATTGCGTCGTGTTCGGAAATGAGGCTCAGTGCATTCACTAAGCCGGTAAGTTCCCTACCTAGTAGACGTTGAAGTCTGCCTAGCAAGCTAAAAGCGTAGGTGGCGCATAGTTTTCCTTTTCCGAACAGCCTTTCATTCCTTTGCTCTTTCGATCGAACGAGTTTAGGATATATTTTTGGTGATTCGCTAACTTGGCCTTATCTGTACTAGGCATTTCCAGGCTATCTTGTTGGCGATTCGCTAACTTGGCCTGATCTGTACTTGGCTGAAGGAGCTGAACTAGCCAAGAAAATACCTACCCTTTATGATGGATTTCCAGAGGTAACGAACTTTTCACTAACGAATTGTTGATAAACTCATGTAGGGGAGCTCTGCTTCCTATATTATGGACACGGGACGGAGTAGTTAACTGCTAGGTGAAATAGCTGCATGAAACCGTACCGAATTCTCTCAAGAGCAATCAATGGCGAACAGGCTTGCCAAACGGAATTTCACACAAGCCCATCTTGGCTGTTCGCCAAGCATCCTTTGAAGATCGAGTGCTGCTTTTTTCGCTTGGATTTCGATAACAATGATAATTCATTCTCGCTTGTTTTCAGCAAGGGTTCAAGGGAAACCTTCCCAGAAAGTTTTCCTCAATATAGTAGTGACGCATGCATGGAATCCAAAAACGTGTTTTGCTGTCGATTTCAGTGTGATGAAAAACATGAAGGAACTTCTATGGCTCGCTACTCGGTGGTCGCAAAATTTGCATTTTGGTCTTGGCATCTGAAGATTGGTTCTGATATGGTATATGGTGATCGTGAGCATGTCCGGCACTTAGCGCCATTTGGCGCCAATCTGAGAGCGCAACCTCAGAAGAAAAATTTTGACACGACGGTGAATCGAACGAACAGAAAATTCACCCCCGTTCCAGCACTACTGAAACCGTTCAGGAGAAACGAACACGAGTGTGGGTTCCGTGCATACGCCCCTTTAATTATACAGTAAACCGTCCCAAAAAAAGGGAGTATTCCGACGGTCTGCCTTGTAATGTGTAATCTTAATTACGTACCTTTTATATCATCCCTCATAGTCTGACATTTATTTTTCAGTTGAAGGCTCATTCCGAGAAGATCCGCTCGATTCCAGAATTGAAGAAGTGGATAGAGAGTCGTCCAGACACACCATTCTAGAAAAGATTTCATAGATAATTCCACTGAATCCTATTTTTATTATAAGATTCTGTCACATTTAAGCTTTTGTCGCTCTTACTTTTACCTTTTACTTTAATTTATTTCTTCGGAATGTTCTGTTAGAAGAAACTGTTGATAAACCAACTTTTACGCTACAAGTGGAATTCACCCTACCAAACATAAGGGATATCTCACAGGAAGCTGGGTTATGAATAAAAATTTCGCCAAAAATTCCGCCATTTTCGTGAAACTTTCACAGCGCGAACTTCTGCTAGAAACAGCAGTTAACAATCGAAAACAGGGAATATTATTACGTTTTGTTTATTGTATTTAGATGCCGCGCAGCTGTGGGTGCAGTTCTAAGTAAAAGGGTAAAGAGGACAGTGTCTGGCTGATACAGCAGTCCAAACTTCTTTATACACCCACCAGTTTTGTCACATACTGCCGGAGACATGGTCCCTGAGCGACTCCGCTACCGCTATGGCCACACCGTTCCGCTTGGTGTCTTCTCCATTGTAGTAGAGCTTGACACCTTCCCCGATTTCCCTGGCCTTAGCACCTTTCCATCGCTGAAGGCATAGGATTTGGATATTCCTGCTTAGCGTCTTTTGAACATGGTTGGTGTGACTGGGGTCTTCATCAGCCGGCCTGTCAACCTGGGCCTGACGCTGGTACTAGAACCATTTTTGCAATTTTTGCAAGGCATGGTTTAAGCCTCGGCAGGGATCGAACTCGCGGTTTTCAGAGGTGCAGACATGAGTCTAACCTCTTAATCACTCGGTCATCCCTGCCTATATCAAGAACTCCCTCTAGCACAGCACAGAAGGAAGGGAGGAATCCTCAATTGTTTAACGGAGTCGGAATAACATCAGAAATATCGTTCGAATTAACAATTACGACATTTTCGACATTTTCAACAGGAGAGGAAATTGAATTGACAGAAAGATTACCACCAGGTTTATTACTGGTGTTTTGAACATTGGGTGAATTTTGATTATGATTGACAGAAATATTAAGCCTAGAAGCTTTTAGGGCACGCAAATGGATCACGTTCACCTTTGGTTAAGGCTGGCCTTATGTGAATGCCTTTAATTGAAAAGTACTTCAACATAGAAGCACGAGAGAGTAACTGCCGCTGAAAAAAGGTATTGGGGAGAACAACCTTGAGTAAACGTGGGCGACTTGGATTTGGTCTGCCCATACGATAGAAGGTGAGAGGAATACATTCAATTGGCAGAAATGACAAGATTCTTTTAATGAAATCAGTATCAGAAGATAAACGTACAACAGGGCTAGGAGCAACACATTCAGTAACACCGGATATAACAACAGATTTAATTATTTCATGTTCATCGCAACAACTAACTTGAGAAATTGTGTATGTATGGGCACTATTGGAGGACACTGGGGGGACAGACCCATGACTACTATCTAAAGACTTCTTCAAAGATTCAATCTCCTTTTTAAGACGTTCATTTTCCATTTTTTGTATACGCAACTCTTCTTCAAGATTATGATTGCGCTGCAACTGGTGAATTGCAGAGTTGTTCCCTTATGTGAGGCCGATCTTGCATTTGAGAAGCCAGTGGGGTGAAAGAATTACTCACACTCATTATTTGGACAGCCTATGATGGTGCAGAGACTTCAATGGAGTTTTTCCCCTGCCACAAGGAAAGGAGCAGTGACGTAGATCAAAAAACGCTCGGTGATCAATCAAAAGCGACCGTCAATCATCGAAGAGAAAAATGATGCCATAAAGAAATGACCTGATCTGGTGGCTATGAAGGAAGATTTGTTCTTTACCCCAGCCACAAGGGTGATTGCAGTAGTTGACGATCGAAGGAGAAGTAGACTTTGAATAAAATAGCTCCTCAGATAGTCGAAACGAATACAGGAGCAGAGCAGCGCGAAAGCCGACCAAGCGCGGGAAAGACAGGCAGAGGCCAGAAACGTCGGCGAAGAAAATGCTTCTCGTAGTTTATCCCTAAAAATATTCACAATAATAATAATAATAGCATATTGACCGCACCACATCGTAATTCAGCAACTAACAGCTTGCAGCAACATGATCACCCGTCGTAAGCATTAAATATAACGAGTAACGGCCAGCGCATCTGCCGAGAAACTTTTTGTTCTGTCAGATATCACAGTTCAAGAGATTAGCCACCAATCCTACGTAGATCGCAATCGGTACCCAATAAAAGACAGGAGTACGACTATGCCAGTCTGGGTTAATAACCATCTAGGAGCTCCTGACTAAGGGGCCCTTTCGCCTGGATAGGAAGTAAGAGGTTGCGAGCGCAGGGGACTGTGAAAGGTTTAGCGGTGTAGCTGTCACGCACTCCTTGTCACCACTTATTATAAAGGTGATGGCGTGGGGATTGATGGTTAAACTGATTGTGACAAAAATGCAACTGGGAAAATCCTGTCAAAAGCTGTAACTCGTGGGCTGCATGATCCTGCTTGATGACACGCTTTTGTGCTGTGCTAGAGGGAGTTCCTGACAAAGGCAGGGATGGCCGAGCAATTAAAAGTGTGTAGACTCATGTCTGCACCTCTGGAAAACCGCGAGTTCGATCCCTGCCGAGGCTTCAAACCATGCCCTGCAAGAAATTGCAAAAATGGTTCTAGTACCAGTCGAAAAATATAGTGAATGAGACGTTTGTGGCCTATAAAGTAGCACAGTTAGTTCATTTATTGGAAGGATCGTTCAGCGGTCGGCGGGGGAGGACGTCACATAGTGGAGAGGAGTTGGCATTTATTCATTTATCACGGCCCTTGAAGGACGCATTTGTTGAGTTTCCCGGCTATTTGACACCTCGCTAAGAATACCGACTCACTATGATAGTTCTGAATGTGCTTGGAAATCTGCGAATCCTACAGACCGCGTAACGAGTAGCACAACCCTCACACGATTTCACATTGCGAGGTTTTGTTGACCCTGTCGTGATTGAATTGAGCCGAGTTTCACAGGTCATCGTGAAAATCCTATTTACATTGCATGTAAAAGTCTGAACGAAAAATGGGTCGACTCCACCGGATGAAAGAAGGCAGAACAAGTGTTGACCTCCACCAAGGTAAGTTTTTGCTCCACCCATTTATCCTTGTCACCCTATCCCATGTGACATCAATACGTATCAGTTATGCATAATTCAGTGGCGGCCTTCTCAGAACTTCTAACCACATTTTGTTCTATCAAATGTTTTAACTAGTCATTGCCAACATTCGATAAACGGTCACCCTCTCCACCTGGGTCTGGCCACCCCTACACAAGCTTTCCAAGCTAGCGCACAGCTTTTTTCTAAGCTTGCACAGCGCATTTTTTGTGGATGTGAGACCAAATATGGTTCATATTATTAGCTGATTTTGTTCCTTTTTTGCTCTTTTGAGTCAGAAGAAGAGAAGCGTGCAGATTCGCTCATTGAGCATGTTTTATGTTTTATTCATAGCTTTGAAAGAGTGTGAGCGGTAGCTATTGGGTAAAGCTGACAGTGCCCCCATGGAGGAAGCATGTAACAGTTTCCCGAAATGCCTCGAAACTTAAACGTTTTGCAATGGCAAGAATATTCCTTAAAACTTTACAGTATTCCTCTGCACCTGCAACCTAACAATCACCCTCACAATAATTCATAATTATAGTTCACAAGTTGGTGCCGCACGCGTGCGCGCACAACGCAACACTCTCAAATTTGGCCCGTCACACTACGAATATTTGACTTCTAAGCTAGATTCTATCCGCTCCATCCACCGACGGCTTCTGACCTCTTCTTCTTCGTCAACCATTGTCATTGACCTCTAACCACTTTTTTCCCGGTCTTCAGGAATTCTTGGGACCGAATTATAACTTTGACGCAAACTCCGCCCGCATTGGCCCACGTCCCACACACCAATAGCAGTTGACCTCCCTTCCGTTGTGAGACTCGATCCACTTTTTCCCGGTCTCCAGGACCTCTTGGGACCGAGTTATAATGTTTTGTGGATAACCCCGCTTTTATTGGTGCATGCCCCGCCCACATCCAAACTTTGCCACAAAGTAATTGATGAGCCAATTACTTTGTGGCAAAATTTGGGTGTGTCAGATCACAATAATCACAAGCCGCTCTTAACACATTGCGGACCGCCCATACGCGCATCTCCATACCTTTTCATGTTTTTAAAAAATGAATCATCATTAATCTATCAACAATTTTATCAGTGATGATACTTATGCTTTCCTGGTTCTGAAAATGAGTGCAAGCACTTCAAGGAGCATTGAAAAATGCCAAATAAATCATATACTATGACCTTCCGCTCGAATCGTGCGCCACATGGTGGCGCACGTGGTACGCAATGTGATAAGCGAGGGAGTGCAAGCGAGAGCATCGAGTCATCGCGGCTTAAAGACTTGAATTCAAGTTGTCCGTAGACCTTTTAAATCAAGCAATACTTTTTTGAGAACGCCCCCCCCCCACCGAGGGTGGGTTGGCCTAGTACTGTACCCTTCCCCTTTTGTTATAAAACTTGAAGTCTTAGTTATCAGCAGTGTACATTTCGATGCATGCCATTTTGGTTCTAACCCTTGCCTTCTTGGTGAGATCTATGGCAATGTCTGCCAGGAGGGGCCTGTGCTGGGGAGCCAGTTCTTCGCCAGGAAGTACCTTGATGTCCTTCACAGTTCTGAGGGATGATCTTCTTACAGCACATGGTCGATTTCCGTCTTTTCGAGACTTCCAGTTAGCGATCCTACGTTCAGAGTCCCAATTCGAACTAGCTTCTTTGGCCGAGGCCGTTCACTCCTCGGTAGCCCTCGCATACTGAACTCGGGCGGGGGTTCTGCGCGCCACTTCCGGGTGACGTAGACATATTTGGTGTGACGGGGTCTTCATCAGCCGGCCTGTCAACCTGGGCCTGACGCTGGTACTAGAACCATTTTTGCAATTTTTGCAAGGCATGGTTTTAGCCTCGGCAGGGATCGAACTCGCGGTTTTCAGAGGTGCAGACATGAGTCTAACCTCTTAACC